GTATCAGCAGGTATGTTCAACTCCTACAAGGCAAACACATAAAGATCAACTGTGACAATAGACACATAGGGAATGTCACCAGTATAAGTATCAGCAGGTATGTTCAACTCCTACAAGGCAAACATAAAGATCATCAACTGTGACTACAGACACATGGGGAATGTCACCAGTGTAAGTATCAGCAGGTATGTTCAACTCCTACAAGGCAAACATAAAGATCATCAACTGTGACTACAGACACATGGGGAATGTCACCAGTGTAAGTATCAGCAGGTATGTTCAACTCCTACAAGGCAAACACAAAAAGATCATCATCTGTGACAACAGACACATGGGGAATGTCACCAGTATAAGTATCAGCCGGTATGTTCAACTCCTACAAGGCAAACACATAAAGATCATCAACTGTGACAACAGACACATGGGGAATGTTACCAGTATAAGTAGCAGCAGGTATGTTCAACTCCTACAAGGCAAACACATAAAGATCATCAACTGTGACTAGAGGCACATAGGGAATGTCACCAGTATAAGTAGCAGCAGGTATGTTCAACTCCTACAAGGCAAACACATGAAGATCATCAACTGTGACAACAGACACATGGGGAATGTCACCAGTATAAGTAGCAGCAGATATGTTCAACTCCTACAAGGCAAACACATAAAGATCATCAACTCAACTGTGACTAGAGGCACATGGGGAATGTTACCAGTATAAGTAGCAGCAGGTATGTTCAACTCCTACAAGGCAAACACATAAAGATCAACTGTGACAATAGACACATAGGGAATGTCACCAGTATAAGTAGCAGCAGATATGTTCAACTCCTACAAGGCAAACACATAAAGATCATCAACTGTGAAAATAGACACATGGGGAATGTCACCAGTATAAGTAGCAGCAGGTATGTTCAACTCCTACAAGGCAAACACATAAAGATCATCAACTGTGACAACAGACACATGGGGAATGTCACCAGTATAAGTAGCAGCAGATATGTTCAACTCCTACAAGGCAAACACATAAAGATCATCAACTGTGACCAAAGACACATAGGGAATGTCACCAGTATAAGTATCAGCAGGTATGTTCAACTCCTACAAGGCAAACATAAAGATCATCAACTGTGACAACAGACACATGGGGAATGTTACCAGTATAAGTAGCAGCAGATATGTTCAACTCCTACAAGGCAAACACATAAAGATCATCAACTGTGACCAAAGACACATAGGGAATGTCACCAGTATAAGTATCAGCAGGTATGTTCAACTCCTACAAGGCAAACATAAAGATCATCAACTGTGACAACAGACACATGGGGAATGTCACCAGTATAAGTATCAGCTGGTATGTTCAACTCCTACAAGGCAAACACATAAAGATCATCAACTGTGACAACAGACACATGGGGAATGTCACCAGTATAAGTATCAGCAGGTATGTTCAACTCCTACAAGGCAAACACATAAAGATCATCAACTGTGACAATAGACACATAGGGAATGTCACCAGTATAAGTATCAGCTGGCATGTTCAACTCCTACAAGGCAAACACATAAAGATCATCAACTGTGACAACAGACACATGGGGAATGTTACCAGTATAAGTAGCAGCTGGTATGCTCAACGCCTATAAGGCAAACACATAAAGATCATCAACTGTGACCAAAGACACATGGGGAATGTCACCAGTATAAGTATCAGCTGGTATGTTCAACTCCTACAAGGCAAACATAAAGATCATCAACTCAACTGTGACTAGAGGCACATAGGGAATGTCACCAGTATAAGTATCAGCTGGTATGTTCAACTCCTACAAGGCAAACACATAAAGATCATCAACTGTGACCAAAGACGCATAGGGAATGTCACCAGTATAAGTATCAGCAGGTATGTTCAACTCCTACAAGGCAAACACATAAAGATCATCAACTGTGACAACAGACACATGGGGAATGTCACCAGTATAAGTATCAGCAGGTATGTTCAACTCCTACAAGGCAAATATAAAGATCATCAACTGTGACAATAGACACATAGGGAATGTCACCAGTATAAGTAGCAGCTGGTATGTTCAACTCCTACAAGGCAAACATAAAGATCATCAACTCAACTGGGGCACATGGGGAATGTCCATTGTACAATAATGAGATTAGAGTATTTAAGCAAAGGCATCATCATGACAACATATCACTCCTTGCTAACTAACAAATGAGAGTATAAAAGACCTGTTTAATTGCATGTCCCATAATATATTATTACTGTACCTTCAGAAATACAATATTGACAAAGATGTCTGTCACAGGCCTATAGGTGAGCATTATATGACTAAAAGATCGCACTCCGTGAAGCGAAAGCAACTGTTCCATAAAAAACAATTGATCAAACTTTTCTCACCTGCTGCGAAAGTGTAGCTGGGTTAAACTTTGGGCCGAGGATATACAACTTCCTTCCTTTCTGAAGAGTCCCACTGAACAGTCGTGCAAAAGCCACAAACACATGCTCTTTCTTTGGCCCTTCATCTTTATCTACTGTTTGCTGGATGTCCGCTGAAAGTGAAAAATCACTTCAGTGACTAAATACATAACTGTTACTTAAATAACTGTATAAATTACAACCATCCTCCTTAGCAGGTGTACAGAATCTGTTCGTAAGAAGGTTTTCTGGGGGCCATTTTGTGTCATAAGTTTAAATATCTAACGACCGAGTTACCTCTGGTCAATTCTATTTAGAAGAATAGAAAGTCCTAATTACAACAAGGCAATAACATGACAAAATGTCAACGCCTAGTTGCTCACAATATTAGTTCAATCTTACGTCAGATTTGAATTTCTGACAACTTTCAGCTGATTTTGAAAAAATATTTGACTTTGAAAAAAATATTTTTTGACCTTGATAATGTCATTGAAGGTCAAATCTATAGTCAGATTTGAACTTTTGAGAACTTCTAGATGATTTAGAAAAAAATTAGTCAATTTGAAGCAAACTAAAAAAAGACCTTTTTGACCCTTTTTGACCTCAAATCTAAAGTCAGATTTGAACTTTTGATAACTTGTAAATAATTTTGAAAAAAATTGGTCAATTTGATGCAAGTTGAAAAAAGACCTTTTTTAACTTTTTTGACCTTGAAAAGGTCACCAAAGGTCAAATCTTTAATATAAAGTCAGATTTGTACTTCTGAAAACTTGTAGATGATTTTGGAAAAAACTTAAGTCAGTCTAAACAGTATTTGTTAAGTTATTGGAAGTTTTAATAATCTGTTACAGATGCCAACTGCCAACCACCGATCGCCTACCACCAACCACCATCAAAAGAATAAAGGACCCACGGTCCAGTGCTCACACAGTTTGGAACCTTCAGAGGAATGCTTATCCTGACTTTCAAACAAAAATATTGATTTGGATTTGTAGTCTCAAACTTTGAGAAACTTAGATAGCACAGTTGTGTGACCTAGTTTGATGACCTTTGACCTTGAAAATTTTACTTATTCAGAGCTCAGTAAGGTATTTTGTGATTAAGCTGACCAAAATTTACATCCAAAAATCAATTTGAAAAATCAACTTTTTTGACCTTTCGAAGGTCACTAATCTCAAAAATGGTAAAAATTTGATGCTGACATATATTGAGCAATATGTAAGGAATGCTTAAATCTCGTAATGATGTAATTCATTGCAAGAAATGATCAAGTATAAGGCAAACTTTGAGAAACTTGTCAATCACAAAACCTGCCAGAAGTCCTACTTTTTTGTCAAATTTTATAGAGTAAACTCCAAAAACTGTAATTCCAAGAGCTTTGAAATCTTTTGGTGGTGACATAATAAGTAAATTATATTTATATATGAACAACTTGATGAACTACAAACAATTATAATTTACAACATATGTCATGTAAGAGAATAAATAAAATAAGAATTCTATACAAGTACTCCGCTATAGTTGTGATCAAGGCCATCTTCCACTAAGTCTCAAGACTAAAAAGTGGTGTCATAAAACTAATGAATTTCTCTTGATTTGCATAACAAAAATAATATCTGCTGTTTTCAGTTGGATTTCACTTACTTATTAAATTGGGAATTACATTTGGAATTTGAAGAATAAACGTACAGTATAGGCCTAAGCCATGAAAAAATGAAAAAATAAAACCAATACAATATTTTGGGATTTATCCATAAAGCATGTAAACTTTGTCAATACTGAACTTTTCTTAACACAATGAAATACATTTAAATTCATTTTGCACAAAGACATCAACCACATTTTGATCCATTTTTTATGGACATACTGTACACTTTTCTCTACTAATTTTGTTTACCAACCCTAACTCCCCTATTGGATTATGTGTTTAAACCTCTTTGTGTTAACTTGCACTCAATATCTGACCAAATGAAGTAATCAAACAATCCAAACCATAAAACCATATTTATAAAACTATATTTAGCTAAATTATAAGCCTGACTTAACCTCACCCTTGGCACATTTACACAAGTAATCAGTACATTGGTTCAAACTTTTGACAAATTCACAACCATACCACCATATTATATAAAACTATATTTAGTTATACTATAAATCTGACCCTTAGCACACATACAAATATTCAATATACAGTTTAACTATTCACTCAAGAGAGGCTATACCTGTTACACAGAAACACAATAAACTGCAATCATGGATTCGGCAGAGTTAGAAGCTTTTACTAACAAATTCTCTCATAGAATACGTGGAGAGCATTTGTTTAAAGGCAATCTGTTACATGTCGACATGCTGGATAATGAAGATGAACAAGACTTTAACAATATGAAACTTAAGAAAGAGGACATTATTGTATCTGCATATCCTAAGTCAGGTGAGACATCAATGAGAGATTACATTATGAAACTTTTTGAATATATTGTATTATAATGTTGTACATGTATGTTATCATTGGAATGACAATATTGCTCATATTATGGAAATGGGCTGCATTGGGGAAAGTCAGTTTTTAAGTATATCCATGTCAAAATCTATGTCAAATCTAGTCAGGTTACAAAGTTTCTTAAAGTCAGGGTGCATGTTCGGAATTTTGCTGCAACCCTCAATTGAGTCACAAGTTATTTTTCAAATTTGAATCACTGCTTCCCCAGAATGTCTACATCTTTCACTTTTGCACAAGTATACTCATGTACCTAGAAAAGAATGTGAAGAAGAATGTTTTGATAAATTGTATAAAAACAAGAAAATTCAGTGAGAAAATTTTTTCACTGAATTTTCTTGTTTTTTATACATTATACAAAATAAATCTTCTCACCAGTCTTTTCTAGGCTTACTCTTTGTGCAAAACTGGAAGATGTAGAAAATTTTAGAAAATTGTCTGAAACAAAAATAGCAGTCATAAAAAGGAAAATAGATCGCTTTTCATCTCAGTTTTTTTCAGTTTTTTCTTTTTCTGTGAATGATATCAAATTTTCAAAGATTGTATCATTTAGAGCAATATATTGGGCACATTTTCTGAAAAATTCAAAAGATTCTGTTCAGTGACCTTTCCTAAGCACTTACTTTTAGCTATTTTTCAGTCACATTTTCAGAGGCCAGAAAAAGTTATTTCATCATGTTAAAGGATCATTTTGACCATGTACATTGTGATCCTGGTCAGGTAAATTACATGTGGAGCTAATTAAACTGACTGGAGATCAAAACAGAACTCTGTTATCTTGGTTCAAAAAGTGTTTGAAATCCGGTATGGTTTTGTCACTTGCTGTTTTGTCATTTTCTGTTAAGGGAATATTCCTTGCCAAACCATCTCTCTCCTCATATGGTAGCTATAACCATATATATGCTTGCCATGTTTAGCAAAACACGCAAAAATGTTTGGATATGGTCAAATTTGATCACTTAGAAATGTGATGCTCAATTCCAGTAACCTGCCATCTTTTAAAATTTCACACAGGAAGTGATGTCATCGACTCTCAACTTTGCATATAGCATTAGGTGAGGAGCTATTAAGAATTACAAAACCAGCTAAATATTCTTTTTCAACTTTGTATCTTATTTAATCCTTCTGAAAATCTCTTCTTTTATTCTAAGTTGACAAGCCCTGAAAATATGTTTGCACAGAAAGTAATGATCACTTGTCTAGAAGTGATTTTGTGCTACTTTCCTATACTGTTATGGGCAAGGTTATAGAAGTTGAGAGTTGATGACATCACTTCCTGCAAGAAATCTTAAAAGATGGCAGCTCACTGGAAATGAGCACTAGATTTTTAAATGATCAATATTGACCATATTAAAACATTTTCCCATGTTTTGCTAAATATGGAAACTATATATATGATTATAGCTACCATATCAAGAGAGAAAGGGTCTGGCAAGGAATATTCCTTTAAGTACCATGGGACCTTAAAGGACACTACACATTAATATTTTTGCCTGAAATCAATTATACTATAGTTATTGAATGATTTGAAGTGTAATATAGTATATATTCTGCTTGAGAAATTCTGAACATCGAGAGCACAATATATTAAGGTACAGCTGGAAAATAACATTTTGGTAAAAAATTGCTATACCTGCACATGTTATTTTCTGGTACACTATAAAGTATGAAGGCATATGTTAATTTCCTTACTTTTTTCAGGAAAGTATCATTACATTGTCTTCTTTTAGTATATCTGGTAAGAGGTCAATGGGAACTCCAGGAAATTCTGATATTTCACACTTTCTATTTTTCCAAATTTTATTTCAAAGTTTCCAGACAACACAGGAGCTACCACTGACCTGTTTCCAGGTTTACTAAAAGTAGACAATGTAATGATACTTTCCTGAAAAAGCAAGGAAATACATGCATGCCTTCATACTTAATTTTGTACCAGAAAATAACGGTATCGTACGGTACCATACTCTTAATGTACCGTACGTTACCATGATTTCAGAGAGCTGATTAGGGGTGTAGTGTTAGCCTTCTGCTGCATTTTCATAAAGATGTTGATAAATCAATAAGGAAGAGAAAACTTCGAAGTGTGCAAAATTGTCTTAGAATAAACATTCAGTTGCCAGATTAATGGTTGTTTTGTACAATACATGCTCCAATGTTCTGGATAACTACTGCAACAGGAATGTTGAAGAAGTTCACTGATCTATCCAGCAAATCTAGGGGTATTTTGCATTTCTAATGCATTTTTTTGAGCAGTGAACAACTTCAAAATTCAAGTTGTAGCACTCAGCAGTTATCCAGATCCTTGGAGCATAGACTGAGCACATCATCCATTAGTAAGCCACCAATCGCCAATCACCAACCGCAGTCACAAAAAAGGGAGACCATAACATTATGTCACCACTTTTTGGTGGTGACATAAAAAATGTAAGTCATCTGATAAAACAGACATGGCTAACTTTAAGTAACTTGTACTTCCAGGTACAACTTGGACTGAAGAGATAGTTTGGCTCATAAACAACAATGGGGACATTGAGGCCGCAAAGAAAACACCTTTATACATGAGATTCCCATTCATTGAAGTCAAACAAGCTTTCTCTGCAATCAGGACCATGCCGAGCCCTCGATTTATCAAAACACATCTAGATTACCCAGCATTCTCAGCGATGTATGATTCTAATCAAACTGATCGCCCAAAGGTTATCTATGTTGTCAGAAACCCAAAAGATGTTGCTGTATCATTCTACAACTTTTACAAAATGAACAAAAATTTAGGCAGTTTTACTGGCCCATTCAGTGAATTCTTGAGCATGTTTATGGAAGGTTACGTCGTCCTTGGAGACTACTTCAAAAATGTCTTAGGCTGGTATGAGGCATCCATCAAGGATGATCATATATTGTTGGTCAAGTATGAAGACCTCAAAACATCCCCCTTGGAGCAAATCAAGCAAATTGCAGGTTTCCTTGAGAAAGATCTTGGTGATGACGTCCTTACAGCAATATGCGACCATGTGTCTTTTGCAAACATGAAGGCCAACCCCATGGTGAACTACGAGGGGTTCCCGATTATGGATCATAATATTTCACCATTTATGAGGAAGGGGGAGATTGGGGACTGGAAGAACTACTTCACAACTGAAGAAGATGCTGCATTTATGAAATTGTACCAGGAGAAAATGAAGGACACGAGTCTCACATTTGCCTTTGAATAGACATCAATATTAACATTAACATTGAAAAACCTTTATTTTCTTGTTGGGTTAGATGCTAAAATTGACACCAGCGATATCCAAAAGTGCTTGACTGAATCATTATCAATTTATTTAAGAGTAATACATAATCGAGAATTCATTAAAAAAAAGTATAATGGGTAAATTTTGCACTAAATAATCATCTTTATTGTGCTTTATACTCAACAATTATTTGGTGATGGCTAAAGATATATTTAAAATTGAATTTATATACAATTACATTTTCTGATGCTTCCTGCTTTATGCAAATTAAACAAAAATAAATTAATTAATATCTTCACTATTTCTGAAGGAATAATGGGACACTCAACAAGCAGTATTTTTCAAATTGGCCACCAAATTATTTTCTTGAAATGGACTTTGGATTAAAACAATATCATAGATAACTGGACATTTAAATTGCAGGAACAACTGTTTAGAATACTGGACCTCGTCACCATTAGAAGTTTGCTGCAAAAGTTAATCAATCTACAGGAAAAACTGTAATGAGAACAAGACGTCCGTGGGCTTAATTCTTGTGTGTAAAGGAAGATTATTCATGTGGTAAAATGAATGTCATTTTATTTGTGCTCGAGATATTTTGATGATTAACAGCAAATAACACATAAATGTACCTCCTCTTAAAATAACACCTTCTGCCAAACTCTGAATGTCAAATTCAAACCACCAAATATCATCCACAAAAATGTTGAAGACTAACAATATGCCATCATTTGTGGTGTTGACATAATAAGTTTAACATCATTTTATTGAATTTTATATATACTTATAATATAATAATACCAGTTAAGAATCAATTAGATCAATTTTACATTTTGATTTTTTGATAATTTCAAAGTTACCCAGAGAACCTAATTGAAAACCGAAAGCATATTTCGACTTCAAGGCAGTTTTCATTGTTGCCACAATAGTGACACTATGGAACTACACTAAAACAGACATCATTACAGTTAGCATCTGGTTAGCATTACAGTTAGTATCCTACCTTGAGTGTCAACTTGTCCTTGAGCAGGAAGTGGTCCATCTTGCTGCTGACAGTTCTTCGATGCATGGTTCTGTCTGGCCTTCTCCCTTCTTTCATTGATCTCTTCCTGAGTGAGTGGCCTAAAAGAGAGATTCATCTCCTCGTCTCAATTTAGGTCAGGTTGACTAAAAACAGTTAGCTGTCATTGAGCCATGATTGTCCCCAAAATCACTGTGGTGGAAATCTTGAAACTGGTTACAAAAATAAATCTGTTTCAGTTAAAAAATGTCCGAGCCTTGGAGGTATCTTTTTCCATAATCTTAAAGATGTAGGCAGAATATTCACAAATTTTTGGCACAAACGTGGGTCAGCATCATATGTCTAAGAGAATCTATGAATTTGCAAATAAAAAGTTCACAAAACGCCAGAATCTTTGATATTGTTCCTTACTTATATTACTTAAATGGAACATTTAAAAATAGTTAACATCTGCATCTACATTTCCATTTGAAGAGCAGCTCCACCATAGTGAAATTTATAACTAAAGCCACTGAACTGTTCAGTAAGTTGGACAAGGCAAATGAGTACATGTATGTGGGTACTGCTTTTCAGAGTGTCAACCCCATTGAAAATAAAGCATGTAAATATAAAACATGCTGTCTTACATATGTTCTTTGACATAAATGGTGTTCATGCATCTGATTACAAAGCTCAAATACTGGATCACAAGTGTTTTACAGCTATTAGGAAACATACATATTTAGAATAAAAGTGACATCTATTAAGCTTTGAATGGTACCTGTGTTTATTTTGAGGTAGATGCTTAATGTCCACGGGGCACATCTTTGAGATAAATCCTATGACAGGGGCCTCTTCTGCTGGGCTACAGGCCAAGAAATCTAAACACACAAATGCATCATTTATTCAACATAGTGTTACAGTAAAACATGTAAAGTTGAACGCCTCTATAAGTGGAACACTTCAAGAAAGTGGAGTCACTTCAGAAAACATGTAGTCTTATATACAATATGCCAATAAGCGTTGGCCTTAGCCCTATACATTATACACTATTTATTCAATTTGAAATAAAAGGCAACAAAAACTATTCTATGAAATGATTTATAATAAATGTGAAAACTAAAATATTGTTTTCATGCAAATTTCTGGTGTGTTCAATTATTTCTGTTCATATTGCACCCCTTTTGTGAAAACTGGTTTTATAAAGTAAAATTAAAATCATTCTTTTCTGCTACTGTACCTTGTTTAAGTAACTGACTAGAGGATGGAAGAGAGTTAAAACTGTGTATGGAAGTACACATGAGCTGTTCAACTTTCTCAACACTTATATCCAAAGGACTAGGCAGTTGCCCGACAACCATTGCCAATACTGCCTGCGCCAGGGGGAGCCACTGTCTGAATATAGCCTGCTGGACCACTTTACCATCATTGTGGTTGAGATCACGGGAATTGATTTCTAGTTTCAGAGATTTCACTATTTTTGAGATCCTTTCTTTATCTCTGGAAGTATACAAGTTTGTAAATACATGTAGTTCAAATGCTATGTTGCAGGATCAAATATTTCTTCCCTTCAATCATATTTTGATCCCAATGCTACCTCTCTGACTCTTTGTATGACACATGATAACATCTTCATATTCGCGAATGTATACTTCATTGCCTTTTACAGTGTATGAACATGTGATTAATATGAGCTTAAAGGCAGACTTTTCTACATACTGTACATTTATTCTGTACATGTATTTCTACATACCGTACATGTTTTCTGTACATGTATTTCTACATACTGTACATGTTTTCTGTACATGTATTTCTACATACTGTACATGTATTCTGATTGGGAAGAGTCTTGATAAAAAGTCATTGAACAAGTTTAATTGTGAATCCACCTACCTCCTTCCTACTGTATCATAAACTGCCCAGATGTTTTCCAAAATGAATTGAACAAACAAAGGTTTCTTTCCCTTGGCTTGGGCACCTTTCATTATTCGTTTGTCTTTGTTATTCAGGTAGAAATCTCCCCAGAGCGTCTTCTGCAATATGTCTGATTTCACTCCAAGCTTCTGTGAATACATCTCAGCAAACTCGGCTATTCTAAATGCAAATTGGAATGAATTAATGGTGAATGAATTTGAATGGTTAAGCTTTCCATTTTTAACAGAAGTTGAACATAAACAAGTGGAATTGTGGTCCTTCATCCCTTCATGGAACTAATTGGATAATTGAGCATAAAGGTACAAGCAAAATAGGCCCCTGAAAAACTGATTAAGAGGGAGGAACAGTAATCAATGGAGGTCATAACTTTTACATACAAGTTTTCTTAAAAATGTGGCTCTCTATCCATAAATACTATAGACATAAAATCGTTCAATATATTTTCATCTGCAAGGTGAAATGTGAATGTTTAATCTGTTAACTTAAGTGTTGAAAAATATTTACATTATATTGCGTATCAAACTATTTCAATCTTCTCTCTAACATCTTTCATGAGATAAGGCCAAAAGAAGTAGATTCTTTGTTTTGCATCCCCCTGCTTGCACGATTTTGATTAAATCAGGAAAAACAAACACATCCAAATTGCAATCACAAGATTCTGAAAGTACCATCGCATTTCATTAAATCAGAATCAGACTATATGGCGGACAATTTGACTTGCATCAAAATTGACAGTGTTATTGATTACTTTGGCATACATTGTGTATTTCCTTATTTTCTACCCTTGAATAATAGCTAAATTTAAATATATTGTATAAAATCTATAGATATATAAATTGGTATGTCAACCCTTTTTATGCCCATAGAATTTCTCAGCAAACAAGTTTGTGTTTTTCCTTGAGTTTGTATTTGTTTTCCTTGTACCCTTGCATGATTTGGATTTTGCCAGGATGCAAAACAAAGAATCTACTTCTTATGGCCTAATCAACAAAAACAAATAAGTGATTGATTGAGAATTCACTTACCCAAACCCCCATCCATCTAATGCACTTGCAAACACAACATTTCCCTGCTCTGGTGAGAAATACAACTTTGAGTCATCTGTCAACTCAAGACCAGAACTCCAATCATATATGTGTTCCTCTGCTTTCTTGCTTGGACTCAAACTACCTAAAACATAATAAGAAACAAGAAACATGAAACAAGAAACATATGTGTTCCTCTACTTTCTTGCTTGGACTCAAACTTCCTAACATAATAAAAAACAAGAAACATGAAACATAAGATAATAATTCTGAGCCTGAACCTTAGGAAGATTGGCTCTTTGCACTCTTTATTGATTCATATGGTCATGTGATTTAAAAAATTGGTCAAATCTTCAAGAATTTTAACTGAGTGATGAATGCTTTCAACTGTACCATGTCATTTCCAAATTCTCAATAGGGGAGTGTGCGGTAGTTTCAATAATTCAATGTTTCAGCTAGATTTCATTGGGGATATATAGGCTGTTACAAGATTATAGGCCTCAACCAATGAGAAACAAGCACTATTATGAGGTAATAAGCCTTAACCAATGAGAAAAAGGCACTATTTTGAGGTAATAATCCTCAACCAATGAGAAACAAGCACTATTATGAGGTAATAAGCCTTAACCAATGAGAAACAAGCACTATTATGAGGTAATAAGCCTTAACCAATGAGAAAAAGGCACTATTTTGAGGTAATAATCCTCAACCAATAAGAAACAAGCATTATTTTGAGGTAATAATCCTCAACCAATGAGAAACAAGCATTATTATGAGGTAATAAGCCTCAACCAATGAGAAACAAACAAGCTGACCTGTCTCAGTGCCAGTAGTTGCCAGGACCTGTGAAGTGAGCAATTCCCCAGTGATAGCATTCACTTGTTCTAATGTGTTCTGCAGATGCAAGAAAGCCTCAAGAGGAGTCATCTCCAGTTCTTTGATTAAGCGATCCATCTTGTTGAGAACCAGGACTGGCTTGATCTTCTCCAGCCATGCCTGGCGCAACACTGCATAGGTCTGAAGGAAAGTATTTTTGGTCTTTGTTCAATAGAATGCAAATATTATTCAATTTATTAAAACTTGTGTAATCCAAAATTGTTCAAATATTAAAATTTTGCATATTGTGATTTTCAGATGATCAGGTGGGTGTAGCACTAAGTTGATTTAATGGAGGGAATTTTGAAGTTTAAGCAACAAGCCCTTACCTGGTAACATACAGAGTAAATCCTTGTTTTGTATAATAGCCCATGGTCTCTTACCTGA